CGCAGTTGCAAGCTATGGCTTAACGGATAAACATTCTTAACATCCTTCGTATTTGGTTCACGTCGAACCATTCGACAGTGTAACGCGACCATGGTAAATTTAAAGAAACATTCATACAAGGAAATTGATAAACGATGTAGAACCAAAGGACACGCCATTTGAAAGATATCCATGGAAAGAAAATAACGAAGGCTGCTAAGCCAATCTGAAGTAACGCTCTCATCCTCGATATGACAAAACTATGACTGCGAAAGTGAATCATATGATAAATAAGTTATTATGATGGAGCTAGGCATGTGTTCTGGTACCATGAACAAGACAATAAACAAGGAAATCAATAGTCGTGTTTATGATACAGATGGCAAAAAACAACAACAACGGAATCACGGTAATTTCATTCGATCTCGCACTGAAGTCCTGCAATCCAGTTCCAGTGGACTTTTTGTGCCTTTACTCTGCTTAAACGAAGCCTAGGAAGCCAATGTCCACGTATAGTTGGGGGTACGTGGAAAGCTTGTCCGGATGTGTGGTTTGAAATTCACTTTGCCATCGTCGCAGAAGCTCTTCTTAAAATGGACATTGCAATGTTAGGCAGTATTACGTAATCGTGGCCATCAAACTGAATACTATCAAACGTGGAGGAATAAGTTCCAAGGGTATCACTGGACCTGTAACATCGTTATTAGAAAATGCAATTAAACCACAGTGTTGAGCGTACCATAAGACCTACTTGTACGAGTACATCTGCTTAACCTAGGTCGTTTGTGTATACTTTTTAGTTAATATAATTCTGGTTTTATAATTAAATGTTTGGATATCACCAGACTTGATTTTTCCTCTCACAGCCATCAGGGTCTGTAAAGGGTTTTTCTGGGTAATCCCCATAAGAACTTATTTAGCTAGAGGCTTGGGAGAAAACTGCGGTATTCATGTACTGAAACTCTACTGATATTTGGATCATATACAAAAAGAAAATTTTAATATCTGATTCTACCCAAACACAGAATAGAGTAGAAAATGGAAAAAAATTCGCTTCGTAATTTGCGAATATTTGTACTGTTACGTCTCCGCTTGTTAATTAATTTTTCCGTAACTTCGTTCCAACGAAACTTTAACGACACA